TGACTGATGTTCAGCAAAGAAGTGATTCGATTTTCGACTAAAATGGCTATTTACTGGTAACAGTTGATGTCAGTCAACTAACACAATATAGCGATTGCCTCGAAGAAATGAATAATCAAACGCCATTGACTTCAGCAAAAGCATCGATCACGCACAGTTAGTTCAAAACGGATTCTCTCATTCGTTTCTTAAACCACTCATCGAATGCGGTGCAAATTTATTTTCATTAGCCAAACATTTCATGCCTCTCATCAACTGAAAATCCTCCAGTATAAAAACAATTATTTTCACCTAAATTGTATCCTAACGATTGTTTTTGTCAGAAACAATCACTTCACTTTCAAATCTAGCAGCAAACCGACAAGTGACACACGCTGACTTTTTCAAACCCAAGTTCTTCACCAGTCAATACCTTGACTGAAGATTCGATTGAAAAGAAATTCGAACGGAATTCAAAGCACTGTATACAGTAAATATCCAAGTTTTTGCGTTCGTCACGTAACCCAAACGTGATCATTGCACCTTGCGTCGTGCCGTTCCGAGAATGCCCCGAATTTTCGCATTCCTTCCACCACCACCACCACCACAATCTTCAAAAATACCACAAGCCACTGACGTACAAACCTTTTTTTTTGCATATGTAGAAATTCGCGCAGTTTCGCTTCAACTGGTACACTTATCACATTCGTATAACGACGGCGTCGACTTCTGGGCTTGCTGCGATCGCTTTGGGTCTCAGCCGTTCGTTTCGAATCGCCGCTGACGTCTGCCAGAGTGGCAACTGAAGTCGACGCGGCCTGAAATTGGCGGTGTTACGGTGAATTTATGCGCATGCGTGAGTATGATAGCAGGGCTTTTTAATCGCGTTGGCAGAGCCGAAGATTTTTTTTTTTTAATCTCTGTAACATTGTCGCTGAACAACGAGAAATTTTCGAACGACTGACTGGAATTGAGTTATCCAAAGCCACACATGACTGGGACAAACATCTTTTGACCTGGTAAGAAAACACGCAGTAGCGGCTTTTCTTGTCGTTGAGCATAATTATTCAAATGCGTGTGCTGGCTCACAAAATAAAGACATACTTTTAAGCAAAAGTGATGCATTTGTGAAACCATCGCAAACTTATTTTACTTTTTGCATCTCTATCGAATCCTTCTCCTGTTTCGTTCGGTCGTAAGCCCTTCAACTAAACCTTTTTTACTGCGTCTTTGGGACTTGTCTTTGAACTATTCTTTTTCACACAAATGAGTTGACTCACACAAAAGTACGCTATCTGATACTTACTTCCTTAACATACGTTAGAACCAACGATTAATACCCCGAATGTCTCGAGAGAATATTTGAATTGAGAGATGCAGAATCCAGAAAATTCCGAAAAGCCCAGTAGAATTATCCGGGACCTTTGATAATCCAATTCAAAGCCGTAATTTCTTCCAATATGTCATGCATTCCAGGTCGATGAAACAGCTTATTGATTTTAAAATTTATTTTTCAATAATAAAGTGAGTGTTTTGGAAGCATTGAATATGGGATGAACAATTTTTTCGTTTTATGCAACCGCGGAAAACCAGCCAATTAAAAGCTCGACTGTTCTCGGCGAATTTTTGCGTGGTGACTGCAAAATTGAAAGTGCAATATTCTTCCTGAAATTTATTGTAAAGCTAAACATTCCGAAAACTTTAAATAACATTTCATTTTTCATCAATCTAAAAGACAGGCAGCACACAAAATATTAATCAAAAATCCTCCAATCTTTACTACGTTTCTTTTACATTCAATGATCGAGTATTTCGAAAAAGTCCGAAGAAAACAGGAAACAAAAACAGCTTCAATCATCGGAACCATTGAACTGAGACAGGAATTATGAAAATCGTCACCAACGGGATCCCATTCCTATACTCATTCTCATTCTGCCAATAAATTTATGGGGGCGTAGTAAAAATCTCTAGAACTCTGAAATATGGATTATCCACGAAAATATTCATATGACTTGAAGAACGTTTTTCGAAGCCACCAGTAAACATAACTAATTTTAAAATCCTCGAAAGAAAGCAAAAATCTTTGTTTTTATTTTTATCGAAATTATTTGATCGCACTATATAAAGCAATGAGTTGAACATGAATCGGAATAAAATTGTACGGCTTCAATTTAACTTGTCACGTTTTTGAATAAAAAAAGTTTTTGAATAATAAGAAAACAAATTTTTTTGCACTGCATGGCACTTCAGCTTCAGGAATCATAAAATGGGGAAATATAATCATGTTGCTGCCATTTTCTCGGCACTTTTCCGCTCCGAACGCTGGTGGACCGTTTCGACATGGAAACACAATCTCCTGGAAGGGAAAGGATGCAAGCTAGTTCGTGAGAGAAGTGAGTTGGCAAATAGTGTAAGTGCAAAAAGGGAAAAAAATAAGATATAAAAAAAATACTGCTCTCTGCGGAATAAGGGAGAGACCATGTATATAAGCGGGAATGAGCTCAGGTGTCGATCGACTGTTTGAATCGGCCGGGTTCGGGAATCATTTTTTGCTTTTCGTCTCTCACCCCTCTCTTCAGTTTTATTTCTCGTTAACGCATTCTTTCTTATATTCTCACAAAGAGTAAGTCTTGTTCAAGTGCTCAAGTTGACTATTTCCACATAACTACAGTACTGTATTTCACACATTAAAATATAGCTGACGACCCGCTTTGTATCCAGAGGTTTCTAATCCTGTCAAACCTGGTTAAACCTCCAACACTCGTGCAGATTTTGGCGGTCTAAACGGGGTTGCAGTTCAGCAGAGGCGGAACGCATCTTCCCCCAAAATTCGGGGAAGAAACAAGAACAAGCGGAAGTTTTTTTTTAGCATAACAGAAAGTTTCATAAAAAAGCCTAAGTATTTTCTTTTGAAACTTCCCAATATAACTGGACAAATTGGTAGTCAGTGGAACAAAAGCTTGGCACAGTCATGAGCAGTCTTATTTTTTTTTATTGAAATCCAAAATAAACAATAATGAGCATAAAATGCAGCATCAGCAACCGCTTGCGCCAAACATCACAATAAGCCCAATGATAATTATTTATGAGGTTGCCGAATCGGTTGAGGTTCCTTCGCCAAATAATTTATTTTCTCTTCGAGGTTTCAGAATTAGGCGCTTTTGTGATTCAAATGAATAGGAAAACACTTACATCACGCGTGGCAAGAGTTTAAGGCTAAAATTAGCCCCTTTTAATGAGATTCGTACAAGTTGGATGCCTGTGCTATGATTTAAAAATACCTTTCATGGAATCTAAAACGGTCACTAAACAAAAATTCACCATTTTCATGCGGCAATTTGGTTTTGTAAATTTCTTGAATTTACATACGAATGCGTGAGTATATATATGAACAGCACGAGATTTTGACATTTACCGTAAAAATAAAACTTCATTGATTTTTAAGAAAAAATAAATAAAATTTTCCCCCGATTGCGACTCAGGCGGTAATTTCCATTAGATCACTGATATAATCAGCAAATTTAGGCAACATTGGGCTTTACCTCGAAAAAAAAAAATGGTTAGAAAGAAATGAATAATCACCCACGGGTTTCACACTAATTTCAAAGAAATCCTTGAGATTTTTCTTTTAGAAAATGAGAAGATTGCTTCGTGTTCCACAGGAAGCCGACATGCGACTGTTTCCTCGAACTAAAAAATACCGTGGCACGAGAATGTCATGAAGTGTCAGTCTTCGAGGCGGAACCTCGAACTTTTTTCTTCAGCTCCTCGGAAAACGACGAGGGAGTTTGTTGAATTTTTACGAGCAACGATGAACAAGAATGCAATGAAGTCTTATTTTGACAAATACCGGTGGAGTACCGCACTTCTTTTTACTCATCGACTGCACAGCACGGAGAAAAAAAAAGTCTCCACCTAAAATAATTTTATATCCCGAATAAATGGGAAATACAGTCAAGTACATTGCATCTTCCGCCAATGCGGATGATGGGAATTAAATCTATTTCCCAATTAGAATATTCCATGAGAAAATCATTGACCAAGATTTTATTCACCGAGCATATTTTCGGAATGAATTACAGTATATATTATTCGTGAAATCAATTCCATTGATTGCGCACTAAGATTGTACTGCATCATTCAAATTCGTATTAAAGACGCTGAATAGGCTATAAAGCACGATTGTTGATGTGAGCAATCATGAATCTGAGCTGATATTACTCATGAGGAATGAATAAAATTGAAATACAATGCTTATTTTATGTCGTTTAAAAAACGTAACACAATTTTATATGATGACGACTCCTGACTTCTGCGGTTTCTACCCGAGTATTAATTCCAAAATGTTACTATTTGGCGGACATTTCCAGAGAAGAAATGCGTACTGTATTCATGCTCGTGCTATTGGTTTTGAAGCCAGATACTGCACTGTATAATTTTAAAAATACACGCGCAAATAGATATTAAACTTTTGCATGTACTAAGGAAAATGGAAACGTCAGCTTGAGAAATTTCACAATTATGCATTTTGTACCGAGGGCGAACATTCGGAACCTGATTATTTAGTGGAAGAAGCAGCCTGTCAAGTTAACTCTTTTTAAATCTCGTTTATAGCCATGACTTGAAGAGATGCCAACTTTACAGTCATTCGAGCGTAACACAGTTCAAAAACTGGCGTGTTTCCTGAAATATTTAAGGCTAAACTGTACATGAACAACTGTTTTTGTGTGTGTGTGTGCTGAAAATGGTTTCTAGTCGTTGTTTTTTTGTGTGGGCTGAAAATGGACATTTTTAATATAGAAAGTCTCACATGAGGGAAATTTGGCCCCTTTTTAAACTCCCTAGACCGAAAAGGTAGGTAAATTTTTGCGAGGTTGTGGCGGGGGAATCAAGAAAGTTAGATGATTGGGAGTGGCACCTAGTGAGAGTAACATTTTTCTACTCTGACTGTTACAACTAAGATTTTTGTAGATGTCACTTCTCAATGCTCTGCGTACAAAATAGAAACAACACACACGGAATTTCCCAGACACATGTATGACTCTGCAAACGTGCAAAAATACTCATCAAAGCACATTGAACAACAACAATGAAAACTGATCCCGACAATATCTACAGCAGCTGCTTCTCAAAACCTCTTCAAAGACGTCTACATTCTATTCCAACAAAGCACCAAATTCTCTTCATAGTTTTTCGTTGCCCTCCCAAAAATATGTTTTTTCTTCACGCCAACAATACGACTCGGACAAATGATTCTAGAGCCAGATGACTAACATAACTCACAGGTGATGCATTGCCTAACGGTTTACAAAAAAATTCTCATCCATTGATTATACAGCAGTGTGATCTTTGTTTTACTGTACTGTACGTGAGTCTCATTTGTAGGTTCGTTGTCCATAGTTGCTTTGCTGCTGTTGGGGATAAGTCGGCTTTGCCTGCTGTTCGTATCCTGTTTGCTGTTGTTGTCCATATCCGGTTTGCTGTTGTTGTCCATATCTGGTTTGCTGTTGGCCGTAATTATTTTGCTGCTGCTGTCCATAACCTCCTTGTTGAGGTTGAGCATAACCCTGTTGTTGCTGCTGTTGTCCATACCCACCTTGTTGTTGTTGGCTGTAGGAATTCTGTTGCTGTCCGTAGCCACTATTTTTCTTGGGTTGGTCATATTTCGCTTCTCCTTGATACTGAACATCGGCTTTGTAGCCCCATTTGTCCACGACGTATTTCACGGTTTGGAATCGTCCGTCGGGCAAAAGAACCCCGTATTCGCCTCGAGTGTCTTCGCCGTCTCGAGCTTCGTTGTGGTAATAGTTGTTGTACGAGGGGTCGTCTTTCACTTGCCAATGAAATTGGTATTTGGCGGGATGCGTGGGCTGAAATGGGGAAGAAAAAGTGGGAGATTTGAATTGGCATGTTTTTTTTCTCTCTTTCTTTCGAGAATACTGCGACCCAATCGAGGTTCGACCATCACGGGATTCCAGTAGAATTTACAGAAGTCGGAATTCTTTTTCGCGGATTATCAATTTCAAAGCTGTTTCAGTCCATGGTTTTTGCAAGGGCATTTTATCGTTAGCGGCCTTTACTCGCCAAATTTTGGGAAAATATGGGCAAAATTAGGCTTTTCATTTTTTTCAAATTGTTGTGATTAACCTTCCATCTTCATATTACGAGATATTGAAAAATTTTGATTCACAAACCATTGTTAGATTGCTGTCTTTTCTCTCTCTATCTCTGGTCATAATCAGTCAAGTAGTAGCAGTGAAATAAAAAAAAGCGAAAGGAAAAAGGCTTTGAAAATCCAGTTACAACCAACAGTATCCTGCGAAAGTTTTCGGCTATTTCTTACCCAGGGTATTAAAATCGCACTCCTGTGCAAAGCCAATCTGCACCAGCAGAATAATTGCGAATATTCTGCTAATTCAAAGGAAATTCATCAGGATCAAAAATATAACACCTGATCCAGATACAGTGGGGTCTTGGCTTACAAACTTGATTGGTTCCTGAACAAAGTTTGTTAGCCAACTAGTTTGTAAGCTGAGTCACATTTTGCCTTAAGAAAATAAAGGAATAATTTTAATTGGTTCCAGAACCTTGAAAATGCCCATTAATTTCAAGAAAATTCATCTGTAAAAATATTTTCAGGCCTGAATCCATTAAATCTTCCCAAAACAATATATACAAGAAACTCACTGCAGTAAAGCAATCCATACAAGTGAAATTTCAAAATGAGTTTCTCCAGAGGTTTCTTCTTCAAAATTTTAAATGTAAAACCACATACTTATTCATGGACCAATAACTTAGGATGGGAAATTTTAATGCTAAAAAGTTGTTCAATTTTAATCCAATTAGAATGAATAAAAAGTTGCTGATCAAGAATTGTTCACTAAACTTTTGAGATATTCTTAGATGAATTAATGAATAAAATGTGAATACCTAGATTTTGCTAAAGAATTTTTCTAGACCCATGAGCATTTAGAGAACTCGAAGTCATGAATTGTTAGCTGGAGCAGCTGATGCCAAAAACAAAAATTTTGTTAGCTGAAAAGTTTGTAAGCTGGTGAATTTGTAAGCCAACACCCCACTGATGTACTTTAGCAGAGAGGAAACATTTTTTTTTAGATGAAAACAGTTTTATTATATGCCTATTGATAAAATTAGTTGGAGGATTTATTTTTCACAAATCCGAAATTCGGACTTCCACATATAGGTACACTATATGAATTACTGTGTGCGTATTCAACGGAATCTTTTATGGGATCCATCCAGGGGCAGAATCAGGTTTATGATACCTGTCTTTAAAATTAAATATCAAACAATAAATTCAAACACGTTGTCTTGAAGCTATAACATACTGAAGTTGCGGATATGCATCTGAAAATATTCGAGGATGTCCCTGATATAATCCTTATTGGCCCTTTTCCAAAAAATAACGTACTGTACCTCTTCATACTTGGCAGCCTGTTGATATTGTGGTTGTTGCTGTTGTTGTTGTTGTGCAGGATATGGTCTTTGAGCCTGTTGTGGTACTTCGTATGTATTCTGCTGCTGAGGGACCTGGTACACTGGCTGAGCTACTTGGTATTGCTGCTGCGGTGGCTGATACTGCTGCTGAGGTTGCGGCTCTCCGTATTGCGCTGACGCTGCTGCGAGTCCCAAAATAGCCAAGACCAACGGGGCTGCTTTCTGTTGTTCGGAATTTGCGAGAAATTAACACGTACTTGTATTTTAGAGGTAAAAATACAAATAGTAAAACGGGTTATCCCACCGCTGCCACCAGTAATTTGGGTTATAGGTTTATTATTCTCTCTTTTGGTTCAGAGTAAGCTCCTGCATCTCATTTGAGAAGGTAATGAGGTTAACCAGAATAATTAACCTTCACTGGTCTTTGAGGGAACCTTTAAGAGGTTCCCCTACACTACAAAATATATACTTTGAATATAACACAAATTTCAGGTGAGATGAAGGAATGAAGCGAAGTAGACTGTAGCAGGAGAATTATCACAGAAGCTCACCTTGAATGACTTCAACATGATGATGACACTGTCAAACGCGTGTTCACTATTCGAATAAGTTACCTGTGATGATTGAATTTCAAAAAATTAACATTAATCATACCTTCACATTGCCATTTTACACCCTTGCCCCCTTGCCAACTTGAGAGTGCCGAAGAAAATAAATGATCAAACGAAAAACGGACCCTGATGATATAAGACACAGCAAAAACTTCAAGAAAGTCGAACTTCGATCAGAATCAAAAGTAAAATAAATTTGAAATTATTCTGGAAATTTTTATTAACGTTCAGGGGCCGCATTTTCAAAAGAAAGGAAGAATGATTATCTTTTCAGTTGAAAAAGTTTTTGCGTTTTTTTGTAGTCTGATTTCCTAGTTGATATTGTCGACGAAGTTATGAAGAAAATAGAATCGTGATAACTGGCTGAATGAGAGAGAAATGCCTAGTTGACACATGGAATGATCTGTGTTTTCATTGAGATATTTTCTCCACGGAGGTGATGAGGCTATTCATTTTTTTGTATAGTTATCGAGATGTATTTGTCAGCTTTAAAAAAAATTACAGAAGAAATACTGCCAAATTAAGAAAGTGTGCAGTAATTTAGTACACACTTTTCAGCCGCCAACAATAAATTCTGACTGATGAAACCTAACATATATTAAAACTGCTTCGAAGATGGGCTCATAAATAAATTCTGCATAAACGAATTCTGACTTTAGTGAAATCAGAGATTTGCGTGAAACAGTTTGTTGTGTACGGTAAAACCTCGATTTTGATCACCAGGCTTATAATTCAATTTTTGTCTAAGGCTGAAACTCGACTTATTTATTTTCACATTTTTCCTCTTCATTAGAATCGAATTGAATTTTATCTCTAAAAAGGATTTTCTATGCACTTACGATCAACATGGAAGGATTCAGAAATTTCACAAAAACGATAAAAGTATGATCTCACGAGGAAAGGAAGAAAAGAGTAACCAGACATATATGGGCTATTTCAAAGAAAAACTCATCGGAGATTCTCAAAAACTTGATGCTCTTCAAGATTTGTGTCAGTCTGAAGAGTACTTCATCGAATTTCATACTGCGAACTCAATCGATTATTAAACGAATATGCATTTTCCCGCCAAATTTCAAAGCAATTTACAGTATTCAGTACTCACTTTTATCGCGTAAAATTTCTTCACAATAAAAAATTCCGTGACTTTTTACTCATGCCTCTGCTGTAACCAGAATGATCTCCTAAATACTTACAATAAAGGTACAAGCGTACAACAGATATCATAACGTAATAAAAAACTAAGATTTTTTTCACTTGAATGTAAGGGGTACTTTGCTGTAACAAATGCGTTTTCAGAATAATTAAAATTCAGGAAGGATCATGCGTTCTAAAAACAAAGACTCAGGTGCTATGCATAAAACATGCCCTGAAGGTACTGTACCGCGGAAACGTTAGAGAATATTAAAAAAAAAGTTTATAGAGTAATTTTTGTCGGGTCAATCGATGAAATTGTTGGGTATATTTTTCGATTCTTCAGCAACCTAATTTTTCACATTAAGTCAACCATGAACCGAATATACTGCATTTCTAAGTTTTTAAAAATCACCAATTAGTACGTGATGCCTACAATTTTTTTTTGAATGAAAGCCGCAATCGATAAAAAAAATAGCCGAAAAATACAACACAAATCCACTGTATGTAAATCTCTCGCTGTTGTCGGCATCAACCGAATGACTGCTGTCGCCTCCAGAACCCATGAAACTGATGGTGCTAAATCACCAAACCCGCGATTTTATACCCCACGTGCACTGTGGCAACGATGACCGCTGCTGATCAGTGCTCAAGAGCACTGTATGTTGGGGACATGGAAAGCAGAAGGAGAGACGAAAAGTGAAGCTCCGAAAGCAAGAGGGATAACCAGCCACAAGAAGCGAAAAAGTGAGCAAAAAAAACAAAACAAACAAACACGCACAAAAGCAAACTATACATTGAGTGATGAGGAAGAGGAATTTGAAAATTCGGTGCAAAGAAGCAGAGCGGATTGGATGACAGTTGAGATGAGAAGGCTGCTGTGAAAGCGAAAAAAGGGGCGCGAGGACGAGTGGAGGTGATCTTGAAAAAAAACGGGAGTGCACTGAGCCGTGTGACATGCTCATGCAAAGCATTAATTACCACCGCGTGGAAGGAGATAAAGGATCATTAAAACAAAAAGAAAGCATTGATGAGGAGGAGCGAGAAGAAAATCGGACAAGAGGGACGATGAAGAGTTGGGTGTTGCATATATCCAGACCTCGTCTGCTAAAAATTTGGCGTGTGACGAACACCGCATCTTTCCGGTTATACTCGAGTTATTCTCAGATATTTATTTTTTATTTTAGAATTTATGATCAATAAAAATTGAAATTATTCAGACAATTCTGAGAGGCGTCTTCGATTTGGAAGAAGTCCGTGATTTGATTGAACAAATGGCTTCTTTTCTCACCATCACATCATAGACAACTTAATTTTTAAGCCAATATAGATGCATTGAAGTGTAATTATTTGTAAAAAATAAAATGCAGCAATTTTTTTTAACTACAAGCTCAGATGAACTCTGCCTGGACAAACTACAGCCACATTTTGTTTTGTCCGAAATTATTTCTAAGCTCTAAATGCACATGTTCTTACTATCAAGTCCCTACAAAGTTCCTTTCTTGTTATCCCCATTCAGCGATTCAGTGATAAACTGCTAATAGGGATCGAAATGTTTTTTGCGAAGCGATGCCTTTCTGTGAATAAAATCTTCAACGAAAATTAAATGAGCGTTTCCTTCATGTTATAAAAAAAATCGTCATATGCTGAATTCCTTCACGCCCTTGCGGTTTTTGTTTAATCTAAACTGTTTCATACCCTATGAAAATTTTATTACGGAAACTAATTCGAATGGGAAATTAAATTATCCATCTCTACGAGCCATAAACATGGAACACCTTGAAATGATTTTCCATCATCAACTATTTAAAAATTTTTATTTTCAGTGAATATCCTCGAAGAAAAAAAGTTAAAAAAAAAAGAATTTGATGAAGTTATTAATATGCTCAAGGATCCCTCCTTTGAATATTCTAGATAATATCACGAATTCTGCTGAATAGTTTAAACCTACCACAGCAAATCCCATATCGTGTATGAAAGACAGAAGTGTAAGAAAGACCTTTTGCATGCCTCGGAAAGCAGAAGATTAAATTTTCGCCAATGGAAACTTGCCGTTTGAAGAAAAAGCAAAAAACTTGGCCTCGGTCGTCGAAATGCCTGAATTTTTCGTCGCAATCAACTCATCACGGGGCTTTCATAAAACCAGTATAAGCCACCTTCTCCTGACCTTGAAGATCGGATAAGAGAACTTTATTAAGAAAATAAAAATAAACTGCCCCAGAATGTAAGATACATACTTAACTGTTCCGTCACGGGAAGCAACAGACGTTTTGATGATGACGTGCGAGTGACATAATCCTCGACCACGCGTCGCACTGTCGCCTTCGCGCTCCACAGTGATTTCCGCGGTTTTTCTCTCACCACGGCCTCGAGGGCTCTTTAACATCTGTGGTTTCTTGCTCTCTGTTTAGAGAGACCGACGAATATCAGAGGCAAAAACATGGGTATTAGCACTATTCAATTCTTCATCAGTACCGTTTTTTTTTTTTTCAAGATTCGCGAATACAGTATAGTGTCTGGTTTCCGCGTGCAGCTCAGCAAGAAAAAAAATTATTAAAAGCAGTTGCTTTTTTTTTGCACTGACGACGCAAATTTCTCAGGCCTCTTGAATCAGTAATGGAAGCATTATACAAGTACAGTTAGATCCACACATGCGGAAACCTTAATTGACATGCGGCCAATTCAACATAGGGACATTTTTTCCGATAAAAAAGGCATAAAAAAGGTTCAAAAGGCGGACACTGACTCAACATGAGGACATTGCAGGATAAAATTGCCAATAAGTTTCAGGAAAATTGAATTTTATATCAGACTGAATTGTAAGAAAAAAGGTATTTCCAACCTTAAGAGCTATGCAAGAAAAATTCTTTGGTATTTTCCCCACCATTTTCTTATCCATTCAGCTAATTTGAAAATATTACCTTCAGCCTAGAGGGACTTCCTTCTCTCTTTGTGACTTGAATGTTATTTTTACAGATGCATAAATTTGAATGCACTGTACATAGGCACAGTTACATATTCAATGCCCCAAATGTTCTTATTGAGTTGAAAGATATTCACTGAATCAATTTAAATCAGCAGAAATTTTTTTTTATGGAATTCTGATAAATACTTCTTCCATAAAACACCAATTGAAGTTTTTTATTATGTAAGTTTATGGGAAAATGAGACTCAAAATAGGGACATTTTGACTTATAGGGACACTCTTGATGCACCAATTACGTTCACATCTTGAGGTCTCACTGCATGCATAGTTTTTGTTTTTTCTTTCTCTAAAAGTCGACATTGTTGCTTATTCATGCCATAAAATGCCCCTTGAAAACAGGATGATGATTTATACTTCCATATAGAGGTAGCACTGAAGGACATTCATGTCAATCATTTGAAACACTTGGCTGCATTAGACCAAAGGACATTGTAGTATTCATTATATTAAAAGATAACCCAGTTTGAAATCATGAATGGCTGAAAAGGGGGCATAATGATTAATGAATTAGTGACAACTGATGAGCATTTTTTCTGTTCATCATGGATGATAGGAATATTGCATTGAAGGAGACGGTACCCAACCAAAAGCCCCCCCCCCCCCCACAACTTTTTTATAAATGGATGCAAGTTTCATAAAAGTGCTTGGTGGCCCTGAGAAGAGCTATTTGGTTTCATTAGTCCTTAAAATCACTGATGACCATTGCAGGTGAAGAATCCCTTCATATACTCAACTTACCAACATATTGGTACTTGGCCTTGTGCTGGGCCTATGCTGGTGAAAGGTGCAGCTTACCTTCAAGAGTTACAAGGATACCTGTAATCCCCAATTTTTGAACCTAGGGGGGGGGGGGGCTTTTGGCAGGGGTGGCTTTTGACCTAGGGGGGC